ATAATAAACCTCGTTTGCCAATCAAGTGTTGGATTTAAGATTTACCATAAGAATCTCAGGAGGGATGGAAATTTTTCTATTCGTCGGTTTAGTAAAAATTTCAATCACAGCCAAGTGGTTTTCATAGATGTTGAAAAATATTTCTTCGATGAATATTTTCCCTTGATCGCGAGTTATTCGTACATTCGGTTATGTACATATCAATTGGTAATTTCCGCAGTTGGCCCGTGAAAAGTGGCCATTTACCGAGTCACCTGGTATTTTCAAAGGTTCCATCCACTTACCTTCCGCCTCATTTCCTACTCTTTCGATGGATTTCTCGCTCCTCCCGGGAACATTGTCGTAGGTCACGTACTTCCGTCGGTTACAATACCTTCAATTTCATCGAACACTCAATTGACCTTCCCTTAACGCCTGATACTATGTTCTCTTTCGAACGGACCTGACATCGTTTTCAACCGAGAGACAGATAATAAAAATCCATTTACTTCTACAACAGTTATATTTGAAGATTAACAAGTTTCCATTTCAATTTTATCGAACAAACGATTAATCGACTAACTAAACGACACTCGTTTAAACGAACCATCTTATTTACGAAAGAGATAAAGGACACATTCCAACACGTTTGGTGCTTTGTCCAGAGTGGATAGGAGGCATTCCAGCCGCTGAAGCGAAGACACCGTTACCGTTTTAGCCTCTCTTTTTCTATCGATTATCGGTTACCCCATAGAGAATCCCGCGAAGCTTAGCACCGAGAGGGATGCTACGAGCCGGTAGCATCCGCTTGTAGCCGCGTGTCCCTAGGATTACTTCCGGCTTTAATGTCCAACGACAAGGGATTTCAAAGGTAATTGAATCGGGACACTGATTCGCCGCACCTTTACATACCAAATTTCACCCGAAGATTATGTAGGTAACCGATGTTCCACGAGATATATTAATATATTTAATGATAAGAAAAATTGACAACTTTAAATTTCGACAATTATGGGTAAGATGATTGAAATCCCGATGAATTCGAGTGGATGTTTAATGCACGAACTGGTAACATACGTTATCCGGTTAATTCTTTCTGGCTGGCTCGGCGAACAGAACCGGAAGCGATGCCTCTCTTTTCGTGTCAGATGGCCCGTGCTCGTTGGGTACCTCGATTCGGCGAGGCATCGTCGTTTTGATCCACCATGTGGAAAGATTCGATCGCTATGAAACGAGCAACGTTAGCTACGCGAACCGAGCCTCTAATCGGATGGCTGAAGATTGGTCCTCTCTATCCCTCTCTCTATGACAACACCAACGACCAAAGGTATCCGCTTGTAAACATAATTAACCAGATTTTCGTCCCGAAAGCCTCTACCCTTCTTTTCCTTTCCCGCTGGGAAACAAAGTGGCCAGCAAATGAAGCGTCCCTTCTGTTAACCCCTTGCCTTACGATTTAGCGATGGGCGAATAAATTCAATTATCGTTGAGCGATAAAAATTTCGAAGAATTTTAGAGGTTCCGAGAGACCTTCGAATTTTTCGAAATTATAAATACACGAATGTATCAGCCATTTGTTGAAATATGAAAGATTCCTAAAAAGATCGATGGTAAAATAAATATTATTTTAACGCAGATGAACAATGAAAAGCAAACGAAACGGTGTCACGTAATTTCACTGAAATTATTCGTTGTAAATTTCATTCTCATCTGAACTTTTTATCTGTTTATATATTCATTCAATCGTCTGTTTAACTCGTACAACCAAGTTTGCTTGTATTTTGATTGATTGCGATTAAATCCTTCTGTACGAAGCGATAATAGGTACACGGATGATACTCGACAGCCGGAATTTTATTAATTAATTTCATCGCGTCATCGCGCGTAATGAACCATTACATGCTCGCGGAGCTTCGTTACGCGTAATTCGGAATATTGTTCACATTTAAACAGGTAATCGATAGCGCTACGCGTACCACGGATAGATTTTCTCAAACTACCCCTAAGTTAAAAAATCATAAAAATGAAATTCTAAACCATCCCTAAATCTTGGAAGAATTTTTATCCAGGTTCTAATTTTAAATAACTCGTTGAAATAACATGAAATGACCCACAATAAAAAATAAATTTTGTGAAGAATCAATGTTCCAATGAATGATGAATCTATTGAACGTAGCTCGAAATAAAGTTAACCGAGTAGATAGGAGAGAAAGTGGAGATAGGTCATGTTGTAAAAACATGACGGTTAGTACACGATGGGAGGCAACATAATTCGCAAGCACCGAGACTTCCAATCGTCTACACATCAAAGGAAGCTTGTACCATGGCATGGCGGTTCGAGGCCACCTTTCGCACGCACGAATAGTCAGGTGGTAACAGAGCGCAAAGGGTTATTTTTAGTAGAATTTGTCGCTCGAACGATGCCGTAAAGCGAACGACACCGTGTGTGTACCGGTCTATAGAAATTTTCACGTGTTTCTACCCACGGTTAAACGTCGGTCGCTGTTAATCGTTAAATGTGCCGGTGACGAACCATCTATAGGAAATAGGTCCGCTTTAGAATCCACCTTTTGGCCTTTCGCGAAACTGCCTCCGACCCGCGATTCGCTCAACTTCTTTTTTCAAACCGTTTCACTCATTTTTTTAACAAAGTGATTACTTTATGGTATCTAAATTTTATAGACACGTTGAATACCATGGTGGACACTGATGGTGTCAAATTAAAAATGAAATTATAAGTAAATATTAGCATGATAAAAGTTATGGGTAATACATAAAGCAAGCTATTTGAAACAAATTTCATTCTCAATTTGCTGTTAATTATCTCTCTTTATTTAATACACCCAGTATTATTTCATTGGATTAACTTAATAATCACCAGCTTTATTAACTCTACGTAATTTGAATATATATTCAATTATTATTGCATTATAATGAAGCTAAAAATTCCTCATTCATTTTATTTGTCATATTATTCGCTAATGGTACTGGAAAATGTGAAACGTTCAAGGATCAGTAATTTAATCATTGAACTACTCCTAATTGAAATCTCGGTAGATTTAAAAATTCAATCAGTAGCTTAAAGCCTCTTAAACGTGCACTGATAACGTATCTAGTGTAAGAGGATTTCACGGAGGGAAGATGTAACCGTGTCTTTGCAACAGATATAATTGGACCGGCTTAATTACCTCGTCTACGGAAACAGCTATCACACGAGCCTGATAACGCATTCCGTGAGTATTTAGACACCTACAACCTGGAAGATTAACAGCGCCAAAGGGGAACAAGAAAACTGATATATTAAGACCTCAGACTGAACTGATATATTGATTAATCTTTTGAAAAGTTCAAAAAGATGGATCTCTTTAAATAAGAGTTCGGAAAGTTCTTTGAAGATTTCATTTTTTCCTATTACAAATTTTAGTTAGAAAGTTTTACGAGAAGATTCAATCGGATTTTCTGTGATATTTCAGGAGGAAAATTCGAGTTTGGTGAAAAAAGATATGAAGAAGTTTCTTGGATTAACTGGTCTATCTACGAGATTCTAGTTTACTGAAAATCAAGTCCAATTAATTATAAAAAAAAAAAAAATGACAGATTAAATATTTTTTTAAATTAAAAAACCTGGACCATTCCTCTGAAGGATCAAAGGAGTCACATGAACTTGCTATCCCAGAAAAATAAGCACGTAGGAAACTTGGAAAAAGCATCAAATACAGTTTCTATTTTCCCATTAATTTCCATGAAAATATAGAAGCTTGTGGATCAGCGTTATCCAGAGCCAGGGTTTGCTCGCGATAAAGCGTTTTTACCCGAAGCACCCTTATTTACAGAGGGGTAAAGCGAGTGACTAAGAGTAGCAATCTCGTCCGGGGTACGTGTCGTCGTCACGGGACAACACGTGCCGTGTAACAAACTTCACTTCCGCCTGTATATGTGTATACGTGCGAGAGAGTAGATTTACACGTATGCAGGTGCACACGCAATCCGGTGTGACGCACACCTGATGTAGGTTAGGATGTGGTCAATGAAGCATCGGATACGATAACGGTGACGGTCAGGGACGGCCTTAAGTGACGTTCACACTTTTGTTCATATTTCTATGTTTTACCATAGCAAATCTGATCATTCTTCAAATTAAATTACATAAAATAAATATTTTTATCCTTAAATGACAAAGTTTTCGTGCTTTTGTTTATATTTCGAAGTTTCACTATAGAAAACTTCATCATTTTTCAAATAGATTATTTAAAATAAATATTCTTAGTTACCCAGAGGGGGGATATAGTGATAGAATTAATAATAGAATAATATTTGATTAAAAAGAAAATGAAACGTGGATGAATCAACGGTGTGAATTCAGCCTAATTAAAAAAAGAATCAGAACATAGTATTGGACAACAACCGTGTCGCGTCGTTGTGAACGACGCTTAAGCCTCGAATCGAAATCAATAAGCCGATTATTGGTCGGGCTGAACGGAGATTACGTTGCTTTGAATTGACACCCCGACACGAGCTCTGTGCCGATTGAATTTCGCGGACTTTCGAGACGGACGGATATCCGCTCTAGTTCCTTTTTCCACGTCTGATACTATGAAATCACGCTCAATGTAATCCTGACGGACACTTCGCGAAGAATCGACCTTTTGTGGCGATCACTCGCAAACTTTGCAACCATTATCCATCCACGTTTATATGCTTACACGCGGTAAAACAATACGGTGGAAAAATGCGAAAAAAGTAGCGTCACTTTTTACCAACGCCATCTATGTGTTTAACGGTAAACGCGCGAGCCTCATGTAGGGCATTGTTGAATACGAAATATTTTCCAACGAACCGTGGATATTCAGAAAAATATTTTCGTTTAAACGAAACGTAAATGAAATAACATTGTTGAGAACAAAATTTATCGGATTATCATTTTCAGTATCAAATATTTGATTCCACTACTTGCATGCATAAGCTCACATGTATTAAACTACTGCAAAGTGTATTCAGATATTCACAAAAATTTTACTCACCGATATTCAGGGACACGTTCGACGTAATAGTTTCCTCGAAACAGCTAGCTTTCCTGGAAAAGCAATATACGGTCTTTTAGAATCAGCAAAATGTTACAACGTTCGACGTACACGCGGATAAATAACAAAGCGTACCGACATGTTTGCTGTCACGAACAAAAACACTTTTTACCGTACAGATTACGTGTTCACTTGACACAGTTATACAATACCAGTGAAAATATATTAATTGCGTTATAAAACAGAATAAAGTAAACGTTGTTACTACGGAATTCCGATTGAAACGATACAAACACGAAGTAGACGCGACGGATAATAGATCATCACTGGGAACACTGTTTACATAATTCTTAAGCAGATGGCGTCGACTCGATAGATCATCGCGGCCGTGTTTACATTTTGGCGGGTTCGAGCAGCAACAATGGGACAAATCGTCGGACGTTTACCAAACACATGGGACCGTTTATTACAGGAAAAAGATCGTGTATTATACTGGAGCGGCGAGGTTTTAGCACTGGTAGCCGATAACGTTAACCAGGAAATGTCGTTATTTATCGATTACGGAGAGGAAAGTATCGACGAAAAAGTCGAATCGTGGATGAACAAGAATCGATCGAGGGTCGATCGAACCATCAGCAAATATCCAAATATGGCGGCACAATACAAAACAAGAGTACAAATTGAACTTGCAAAGGTAATTATTTTCAACGTTCACAGTTTATTTTAATTAACAGTTTATTACTGTACGCAGATAAGGGAAGGATTTAGAATTCGAATGAGAAACGATTATCGACAGGCCTACACGGATATTAAAAATTTCACAAGAAAGGTGGATAAATTAGGAAAACGACAACGGAAGATACATGGTAAAATTCTCGAGTTAGAAACCATCTGTGATGGAGACGTGAAACGATTTCAAAAGAAATTAGGCCCTTTACGGGTAAAAACGTTTGAAAACCTCAGGACAGGTGAAAAAATGATGTTCGAAGACAAAAGACTGAAAACGAAGTTCGCTAAGAGAGTACTACATTACTATTTATATTTTTTAATTTTTTCTTTTAAACAATAATTATTCACAGCACCTTTTTTATAATATTAGGTGAATGAAATTGATCTTAAGAATCTGCAGGAATGTTCCAAATACGTTGACAAAATAATTAACAACATTGAAGACACTATGCGTAATTAATGGACGCAATAAAAAAATTTAGTATACCCCCGATTCAAAAAAGAAGGACGATCGATAAGAATATGGAATACATGTTACATACGTCACTCGCATATGTATCTATATGTAAATATATGTATCTGAACAAGACTGTATGTTTAAAATACTATTCGTGTATCTATCTCCTTCCACATTATCTTGCAGAATGTATCTGCAAATGTACTATTGAATAATTTAAAAGCAACCATTTACAAACTGCAGATTGATCAAGTACCTTCAGATATAGATGCTTGAACGAAATGTAATTGAATGGAGTTCTTTAAAAAAAAAGAAGAAGAAAAAGCGTAGAAATAGCGAAACAACATACATACAAGATAATAATACTCACAATCAGCTATCAATGCCGTTGAGGTAGACTCTTTCGCAGATTCTCGTAACCAGGAAAGCAGGATTCGCACAAGAGTTGCGTATGAGGTATATCTTCTTCACAGGACCGTACTAGAATATAAGACGCGTCTTATAAGTTAGAAAGCCCTATAATAAAATCATTATTCGTCTATTTAGATTCATATGCTTAAACGCTGTTCATTAACCATACGGTCGAAATGTGTTTTGGAGAATATACCTTATGATCAATGAAATATGTAAAATTGTGCGTATTTATTAGAGATGATATTGATATTTCAAGCACTGAAATTAAATAGATACATACCTGCGCATGATTCGCGCGGGAATCTTCATCCAAATGTGTCGTGACGTACGAGGTCCACGTCTTTACGGTCGTCGGGATCCATGCATCTTTTCCTCGTTTCACGACATTGAAAATCTCCCGTGTTCTGTACTGTTTTTACATGAGCTACTTTTTATGCGAATTGAAACACTGTTGCTAAAACCACGACGCCGCGGTAGCAACGGCGGTCGCTAAAAGCCGGACATTACTAGAAAAGCAGGAAGAACAAGGAGGCGTTTCTCTTTCGTCGACAAAGTTACTTCTATCGCCACCTATGAACGCAAATGTCAATTAATATTTCTGAGAATTCGATATAATTCGATATATCGTTCAATGACAAAGACAAAAGAGATCACTGTACAAAACATGCTTCTATATCCATATATATTTAATATATAAAGAATGAAAAATATGTTTATTAACAATATAAATTATATTTGATATATGTACTTAAAAATAAGAACGAACAACACGACCTTCAATAGCCGTGATCGTCTAGTGGTTAGGACCCTACGTTGTGGCCGTAGTAACCCAGGTTCGAATCCTGGTCACGGCAATGTGAAAGAGCATTGTCACGGAAGAAGGCTTATTTTTTTTCTTTTCAATATTCAAAATTAAATTAAACTTTATTTATATTGCAATATTTTCTGAAACCTTAATATATTTCTTACATCTCATTTCCATTTCTTCCGATGAAATATGTTGCAATAAAATACACGGAAGGAAGTATTTTATATTATTATTTGTATCAGTTTTGTTTGAAAAAAAAAGTTTCATCAGCAAATTTCTTTGCTGTAAAGTCAATAAATTTCAGGTATGACCACACAAAAGTTCAGTTTACGTCTCGTCTGTTAAAACATACGTATTCTCATTGTCTTCGAATATGAAGAAATATCGACTATTACTTTTAATTGTTGTTCTATATAAGTGTGGTGTTTTTTGTGTTAAATCTAACAAAGTACAATTATTTACTTCCGTTAAATTCAAGCACCCTGATGCGTATAATTATGATAAAGGTAACGCACAACGTGTAATTATGAAAATATTGCAATAATTTATTTAATCTAATTTTTTTATTTTGGGTACAAAGTACGTTTCGAAAGAGGAATAAGAAAATTTGACTTCGGTTTGGTTGAAAAAAATCGGGTTACACGTGGTATATTAGGATCTAAAAACCATCTAAGATCAGGTACTAAAGTAAACCCTATGTATGTTAATGATTCAAGATGATACTAATTGATCTTTTGTTTCCTTAATAATCCCTAGGTGATGCCCATCAAATTGCACATTATTTCCTCACTGGAGGACCCTTGAAAGGTCATGCTCACTTTACAAGAGAAATAAACTGTGATTCAAATAATACTGAAAGCAATGTAGTTGGAATGAGCAATCCAGAAAGTAAAAATGATACAGATTCGTCTATAAGTGATACAGATTCGTCTATAAATGAACAAAATTCAAATGGAAATGTGTCTGATCCCATTACTGGAGCTCAATTACCTCAATTACCTCCATTACCACCACATAAACCTATAGTTCAACCACCAAATTTGTATAAACCTCCTAAATTACATCCAAGTTTAAACACATTAATTCCTAATCCACATACACCTATCCAGCATACTTTCTTAGGTTCTATTCTCCACCCTCGTTTACACCCACATATTAGCGCGCTACACACTATTCCTAGTGCTTTAATGAAAGCAGCTAGTATGCCAGTACATGGTTTATTACAGGCACAATCACATCTACATGATATTTTACAACCCCATGGACTAGTTGGAAGTCCTAATCTTCTTGGAAGTCCCAATAAAGTAAGTAATATGATACACTGAGTGAACAAATACCTATCAGCATTCGAATTTCCTTCTAAATCTGTATAGATACAAGAAAGTAATGTTACATTTACTGTTCCTAGACATCAAAACGTGCGAAAGCTAAAATGCATTCTATGAATAATTTCATATATTTAATGGGGCAACCACCTATTGTAGGAGCATCCCTAAACAACTTTGATCATAAAGTACATACTGTTCTACCACAGATGTTCTTAAGCTAACAAAAATTGTATCAAATACATTTTGAATTTACAGGCTGCAGAATCAAATGAAAGATCCTCTCCATTCCCCACACATCCTCAACCTACTGGATATATTGTACGTTATGTACCCCACAACAAGACATCCGAATCACTAACTCCTATTAGTACACCACAAACTTCTGATGATAGCCCAAATTCAGAAGAAAATGTAACAATTTCGGCTGATAACAACAATCAAGATGCAGATAAAGATGAATGATTACAAATACAAAGTGAGAACAGTAATGGTTAACTGACAAAAACAAAGTGGAAATGAAACTATGATAAAACAGACACAAGAAGACTATTGAAGTTTCAAAGGATGTACAACACATACCATAATCTGAAACATTAAAGAACTGTATTAAATATTTATATGTATGGATATACAATTTTCAGTACTAGTTTAAAATTTTATACAAGACATGATACATATGTAGATAAAAAATGAAAATTTATAAGCATTATTATGCTAATTGCATATTATCATCTCCTTCCCTTTCCTTTTCCCTTTTTAGATGATGAACTGGAGGACTGTGCAGATTGTTCACCAGTGATCTGTTTTCCTTGTCGTGTCTTTAATTTTGGAATTGTGGTACCTACGTATACCAGAAGAGCATCCCTTGTAGGAAGTTCAGGTTTCACTGGAGTACCATCATCATTTTTTAATTGAACACGAATCCGACCACGATATAGCAATTCTTTACTCCGTTCTCTTGGATGTAGCTTATTTTCTACTCCGACGTTGAAACCAGCTGCCACCAAAACATCACGAATTTCTTGATGTGTAGGATTTTCGACACATTTATCTTTCGCTAGTTTGCGACCTGCTGCCAAAGTTCTTTTACTGTTTATGTACACCGGATAAATACAAATCCATCTATAACAAACCAAAATAAGAGTCATGCTTCTGTCAGTTTTACGTCAGATAGGTTATATAGCAGATGGTGTTATGTATCACAAATTATGAATAAACCTAATTACATAAATAGTTTAATTGATGGATAATAATCTATTAGAAAATAACTGAAATGTTGTGTTTAAAAAATTAATAGTACAGTAAACGTACCTTTCACGATCGCTATGTTTCTTTGATAAATTCCACGCGAGCGCCATGTTTCGAGTAATCGATAGTATCGCAATTCCATTTATAACATCACTATCGATACTACCGTTCAAAAAATAAAGATACTTTAATAAGCTTGAGAAGTCAATAACAATAACGTAGTTCAACTGAATGTAAAATGATTAAACAGCAAAATGAAAACGGAACAAACAAAAGTAATATAAGAAACTTGGGCTCGTCCGGGATTTGAACCCGGGACCTCTCGCACCCGAAGCGAGAATCATACCCCTAGACCAACGAGCCATATAACAAATACTTTTTAATATAAATATTATAAACTGAAATTAATATTAATCATTATTTTTCAGCAAATATTGATACAAAACTTACAAAATTATTAAATTAAACTTTTTCATATTATTAAATTTACAATTCTTAAGCGAAAGTAAGCCTAAGAAAATAGTTTGTACAATGTTAGCAACAGTTTCTTCTTCAATGTGTAATACATTGAAGCAATTAATAAACAAGAAATACTATAATTGATCTCCTCAATCCTACCTTGAACCATGACCTCATTAAGCGTTTTTCTGTTCTCAATGACATACATACATACATAGTTGAACACTTACATTGATTATAAAAGTATATAATGAATGTCTGTGTAATATTTGCTAAACAATCAACTACTTAACAGTGTAAATATTATTCGTCACGAAAAACAGCGATGAACTAAATGAACATCCTTGTGTTATAGTCTTATCTTAGAAAACAATGTGTAATATTTACAATACTTTTTTTAAATTTTATTTACCTAAATGAATATTAATATAGTAAAGTGCGAAATATGTTTGGCGGAACCGAAAAGAGGGGTCCTGCAATCAGTTTCAACTTTCACTATACGGGCTTATTGCGAGGTTAATTAGCAATTATCGAGTGTGTAACGGTGAAAGCGAGCATTCTGTGTGACATGGTTTCACAAAGATCGCAAAATTAATAAGTTTATTGTATGCAGACCGCGTTTTAATTAAACTTTTCTTTTCGATCGATTCAAGCACGCAGTTACTTGTAAAATGATGATAAAACGACGAAAATTAGGTCAGATAAAAATTATTATCAATATGCAAATATTTTAAAATATTTACTAAACTTAATTTTTTTCTGGAGTTAGTTTCACATTTATAGAGATTATAGTAAAGAGAAAACAAGAGAAATCGAAAAAAGTTTTGTTATGGTTGGTAATAAAAGTAAAATTTAATAAGTTTGAATAAACCCATTAAAAAATTCATCATGTCCGAATCCTCCAAGTAAGCCAGTTTGTTTCATAATAACAACACGAAACTTCAATGATTTCCGGTTTCGTAGGTTAAGATGTTCAAACTGTTCAATTTGCTCGAAAATTGCTGCAAGTTTATCAACTGAGTAAGTACAAGCTGACATTATAAGAAAGTGCGCCTGTAAACGTAATCAGGCATATCATCTGACATTTAATTTTGAATTTGCTGATTCATCAACTAGTTAATTATCAATTGAGATATTAATTAAGAGGGCACAGATATATATTTATGTTTTACGCTTCATATCAATCGATAATGCAAATAATAAACATTTTAGCATCAGGAGACTCTCACCAGTATGTCGCGCGATGCTAGCATGATTTTTCTTATCACCTTTTAATTTCACCCCTTCCATTTTTGGTACGATCATTCTGTAAATATTCAAATATAACCATTTTTCTATTCCTCTCGTAGAAATACCTTTTTGATACAGTTATTTTGTCATTATTTTAAATGTTAAAAATATTGGAATATAAAAAATTAATCATCAACTTATCACGTTACGAATGCACAAAGTACAAACTTCAGTTTCTTACGTACTTTTTGCTCTTTTATCAACGTTTTTATAACAATAATTTATCAAAACGTTCCAGACACGTTCCCGTCAGAAAGAACAATAACATGCGTCGATTAAACACATACAATTTTTTAATGCAAAGGTTGTACATGTACCTATGCATGAAATAAATATTTAACTCGAAATAATTACCATTATGCAACGTGTTCTGTCACCGTAAAAATCGCTTCGTACGAACCTGTACCAGTCACCTTTCAAAAACTTGTCGTACCTTATCGTTCTAGAATAAATTCGAGTTAGGGCAACTTGGAATAAGGACAGGGTAGATGCAACTGGAATGTTAGGTTTTTTTTTCTTTATAATAAGATGTGGAATTTAATAACATTTGTTGCGATTCGAATCGCCTTTCTGTCTGGAAAAAAATCGAATAAAAAACGGTGACTTTAACGCCGATTTTTACGATGACGAAGTTGCATCAAATAAGCAAGCGCACACGTTCTTCGGTTAGTTCGCGCGAACGTCAGTTACGTTTGCGTTCTACTCGTGCTCGGAAGGATCGATTTCACTGAACGAAAGTTGTTTCAAAAAGCAAACTGTTTTTCTACGTGATAAGAGCATAGTATTAAACTAATAGAACATCGTTTTATTAAGTTATGGACGATCGTTTTTATTGAATTTTTTGTTGAATTTCAATCGTCTGCAATGGGAAATCCACACTCAAAAGACGTCCGTAACGGACTGCGAAGTTGTAAAGTGTAAGTAATGAAATTTTTAATTTCAAAGAAATGTTTTTGAAGGTTTCAAATGTTACCAGCGTAAATCAAATAATGCCCAGTATTATCATGCCAACGCAAAGAAAGTAAGCGTTTTTATAAATTGTCTTGATAAGTGTATACAATTGTACACTAAGTTCTATGAGTCATTAATGTCAATAAGAGAAACAAATAAAAAATGCGAATTTTATCAGACATTCAACTAGTTAAAAGGCAAAATATGTGAAATTGTTTTTTTAGAACCTCTTTTAAGATTTCATATGTAAGCCTGTGAGAGGTGGGAGCAATCGCCCCCTCTCTGAATCCGGCACTGTGCGTTATATCATTTTATAATTTGCCGCGTGAATTAAAGTTCTCATAATCATTGAATGATTACGAATATTTCTCGCTCTATCTTTTTTTATCGCGCGATTGATGTAATTTTTGCAAATTAAAATATACAAGCAATTACGTTATTTCTAAAAGAAATAAAACATTGCTGTTCGATTAATCTGTCCCACGTAATCTTTGCTATTTTTTTTTTTTTTTTTATTAGCTTAAAATTATTTTTCTGATTAATTCTCTCATAAGCTTTGCACCTTTGTTTCTATGGAATATGATGCTCATAATGATTCGTTAATTACCACGAGATATTTCGTGTTTGTTATTATTTATTTTGTACACAATATTTTCGGCAGTTTTCCGTGTAACTTTCCGAGATCTTTAATTTTAATTCCACATCACGCGATAACAGGTTAGTGGCCTGTGATCCGCATTATCGTATGACATGTGCAATGATGTAAATTTTTATGTATTCAAGTACGGCAGAAAGAAATGCGACGATTATATTTTATCATATCCTTTTTTGCTGTTTGCAATTGAATCTGTAGCGAATTAGATATTAAAATGTTGAAGTACGTATGTACTTTTTCTTAGGAATTGTAAATAAAAATACATTTACACTAAATATGGTAACAACATATGGGTGTAATAACAGACACATGTAAATCATATCTATTGAAGTAATGAATAGAAATTTTGTATTTTTGTTTCACGCCTGATGATCACGTGACTCGCGCTACCAACTTATCAGCGTGGCGTGATACTGTCCTCGTTCCTAGTTTTGCATATATGTTAACAGTTTCGAGACAGATGTCAGATCGAACGAGAGTGATCAAACACGAAAATAATAATAGCGATTATGTTCACGAGACGTTTTCTCGAACGTATCAAGTGTCAATTTAAGAGCTTTATCCGTCAATCAAGTTACTTACGTTATGCTAGTAAAACGCTTGAACCTGATACGAGGCAGTTCGATCAGCTGCACAACAGGTAAAACAGCGAATTTTGAATTATTTTAATTTAAATTAAATCTTTAATAAGGTTAATGCAAGATATTTACGAAAAAAAAGTTTGATTGACGATTGTTACAGGCATAATTGCAGGTTTTCATGAACATAAACTTTTATATTATGCAATTATGATAAACTGATGCAATCTTTTTTTAAGTCTATAATTTGTTCTGGTTCACCTGTTGTTAAACCGAAAAATAAATAATATTATGAAAACCCTGAATTTTATAAGCATTCTTGATATATGTGTAGTGTATATAAGTAAATATATATGTGATATATGGTTAAATAATATGTCAAACGATCCTTGTCCGATGGGCGCAGACATGCGATTGCGCGATGCGCGCGCTTGCGCTATGCTAGTTATACTATCAGTGACGTAGCAAGTACCCATCGGGCCCCATATTTTTTTACCGATAGAATCATATTAATATGAAAATCCTGATTAGAAGAAACTTATCAAGAAACTATTTGCAGCCTTTAAATCAACGTAAACATCTCCTTCGTAAAATCGTTTTAGACTTGACCTACAGTTCATCCCCGTGATAAATTGTTTTATCAAAACACTAGCTTATCAGCCGTTAGTACTCATTAGTTCATAAATGCTGTTAATAAATTAAATTACAGTTGCAATCTATAAAAAGGAAGGCATGCGACAGATTCGACAATCGCGCCATATAATTGATACGCGACTGTGTTCATTCCCCTCGCCCTAACCTCACCTCTCTTGAACGGTAGTGCTTTCTGCTGTACCGACATTCATTTTCAATCAGCCTTCAACTTCGCTCGTCGTTTGTAGGATCCACAGTAGTAGCCAGTTGACCTACGACGACAAATCTTCAACAATGTCAGCTCTTCACCGAGATCAGCTTGGTCAGCGGGGACATGGAGACAGCGTCTGTGCGAGTTTACTTCGTGGCCTTGATCATCTGAAAAACCCACAGTTGAATAAGGTACGCTATAGTATATAACGTGATTTAATATTATGTATAACAAATGTGGTTTGTGATGCCGGCAGAAGCACGAACTGTTCTACTGACTGACATTGACATGTTACTTCCTTGGTCATTTGCTACTTCATTTTTTGGAAAAAATGTTATGCACTAACATGTAATAATCATTATACGACACGCGTATTATAAAAAAAATGACGTTTCCTGTTTATTATTACAATCGTTGCTATGGTTTCTGAAGCCTACTCATGAACGATGAATCGTAAATTTTTCTATGAGATTAATGGGGGTGATTTAATGTCTCATTTTCGGCGCGAAATTTGCAATTTAAATATCAAATGATCCGTTAAACATCCAGCGACTGAAAATTTTCCATTGTTTTGACGTAAACCAAATGAAAGCGTCACTCATGAATGAAATGAATGAAATTAAACTGCAGAATTATATTTTAATTTTGCGAGTAGGTTCGATATCGATCGGCGGATGTAAATTAAAGTTGTCGAAGCTGAAGTGAGAATTTCATGAACGCGTGCGAATGTACAGCTAACCTAGTGGTATTGAAGACACTAAGAATGCACAAAACACTAAAGAGGATAATTACGTTACGTTGAATTGGTCACGTAGTGTTCGCGGTTCCATGAAATTCACTTTCACGGCGTACAAATTTACCGAACGGAACTAATGACGGTGTGACAACCTGAGGATGATGAAACAAGCATGAATGCTTTTTAGTCGTACGATAAACCGCCGTTATCTCTCTGTCACAATTTTTTATATTTTTACAACATCTTTACTTTGATTAGCCACCAGTAAAATATGCTTGAACTTTCTAGTGACATTTTTTTTTAAACTACCAGTTAATATTATTCATACACTGATAACCAGAATTTAAACTGGTTTTCTTAGAAATTAATATTTATGCAAATCTTAGTTGAATATTCAATGAAAGTAATCATATCGCTTAAAAAAAAATTGCATCAATCTGCATTTTGTTAGAGACATTTGAAAATAAAGAGAAAATCGAAAGCGTAGAGTAACATTATCGGTAATGTTGATTCGATTAAAACTCGATCGATAATGGTTCTATTTATTCCCTCGAGGTATCGTAGCATCATAAGTTAGATAAAAATATATCGATGCAAATAGACTACCGTTTGATTTTTTAAACTGGTAACGTGTTCAAGCTAAGCGTGTTTATAACGATAGACCTCGAAAATAATTTTCGCGATGACTGGACAAAGTGGACACCAAATATTCCACGTGTAATCATGCGATCGTGATTGCGAAATTCACTGGGAATTCTGCGGCTAACGCCATATTTTATGACTAACTTTTTATTCGGTAAATCTTATACTTCATCAATAGGCATGTGATACTTTTTCCTCAATTAACTATGAACTATAAGTCACTATGAAGTTATTACTTCAAAAAAACAAAATAAGAAATTACCATCTGTGCAATAAATTTTGCCAATGCATAATTACATATTACATTGAGGAGCTAAAAAGCTGGTGAAACTTATAAAAAAAACTTAGTAAATAATAAACATGTATTCATTTTTGCCTTTATAAAACCATCTTATTTTTCCTATCAGATTTTGATAAAACGACTAAATTCCAGTATGCTGTACGTATCGGTGACCTTTTGATAAAGCTGATACCTCCTGCTAATATTCTGCGAACAAAACGCTGACTGCGCTTTAAGCCCCTTATCGTGGCTTCGAATTAAAATGAAAGAAAGGAAGAAAATGATATAGAATCTATATCAGCATTTTCGTTGAGAAATCAAACAGTATGTATCACTTCAATCTTCTTATATTCATCCTACCGATATCAAAATTACTTAATTGAATAATTTTTCAGAACAGCCTGCAATTGAAATAGTTTCTCTCGCTAAGGTCTTCAATATACCCTCATCGAGTCTCTGAACTCTCCAGACCTTGCGCAGAAATTTCGATCCAACTCCTTGTGTCGTTTCCTGGTAATTCTTCTATACATATAAAGATATCGGATCGATCAAGAGTATCACTTCCGCTCACGAAAACGTGGCGGTAAAATTAAACCTTCTTATCCAACGGCGCAGCCAGATTAACGCGCGATACGCAAAGACCCGTTTCATGCGAGTGGCAGCGATTCTTGTAGTAGGTCGTGGCACGTTTTGCGGACCAGCAGGACTCTTAGCTACATATTGATCGAGCGACTGGCAAGCTCGAGGAGCCTGGCAACCGTTTCCATCGACGGATTGTTTGCCATGGGACTTGAGATCATTCGGAGAAGTGGTAGGACACGGAAGAATGGACACGGATTGGTGGGACCTCGTTCCGGATTTTCATAGAACCGTACGGGTTCCTGAACCTCTGCTGGCTGCTGACGGAAGGGTATTCTTGCTCTGCATTTCCTCGAAACGTTCGTTTTTGTTTCATTCTATCCAGATATTTCTTCAGAACATTTACTTTTGTACAGAGAATCTTCTGGCAGGATTTAATGATCTAACAGTTTGATGAAAATTACCACACTGGAGCTCCTTTGGACAATACACTTTGAAGTTTTACCAATGGTTACTCGCAAGAATATCAAAGTCACGATAACGTGTGCATAGTTATTCAATTCTACACACAAGTTTCAAGGAAAACGAATACACAATTACGTCACAGACGTTATACTTTGTCCTTTGTCTTTCAACAGTTTTTTCTCTCTATCCTGTGGTTATTTTAATCATTGGAATCTTGTTATGATTATCAGCTTACAGATATGTAAGAATCCACTTTGTGATAGATATTTTGTGGTTATTCCTTGTATCATATAATACTGTCCAATTACTTTTGATAGTTTTAGCTCCTTGACTTGAAATCTGACAAGAGTTGTCAATGGGTGGTTAACTTCTGCCTCTTCTCGAAAAAGTTCATCTGCTTTTGAATGAGAACCTTTATCCTAGTACCGCCTCTTTGGTGCGTTTTAGTTTGAAGAAACAAAGGTCCTGGATTGAGGACTCTAAAACAATGGACCCGTGAATATATACCTTTGGACCGAGCAACGATAAAAATTCCTTTTCTTCATTTTTTATATTCTGAAGGTACATATTGATGAAAGGACACGTTGACTTTATTTATTCTTCATGGAATCAACAGTTGAAGTTAGGTAAACATTTCCTGTCTGAGTGACTTGCAAAAATTACATCTGCATGTGTAACAAAGCATTCTTCACGCTTTTTTCTCCAGGCGAAAGTCACTTTCGATCTTCAGAGACTATTAAATTGGTTCACACACGATTGTGAAATTTTGAAAGTGTTCACAAGCATTCACTGCTTGCATTCCTCGTCAAACGGAAACTTATCTGGTTGATTGAACTCTGTTGTTTGTAATATGATTTTTGATGGATGGTCGAAGCAATCTCGCAAAAAGAAGCGTACAAGAGAGTGAGATAGAAGGACATGTATCTGCTATCATAATTTATAAAAGTCAATTGACGTTGCTTGCGATCTGGCAGGAACATTCGAAGCATTGTTAGCGACCCCAGAGTCCGGTCGCTGGTGGAAAAATACCATGCTTTTAACGAGTGCTTTGACCTTATACCGTCCGGTTCGACTTGATCATCGAGGAGTATCATGTATTCAATGGAATTTTTTTAAAAAGGACTAACCACACTGGTCGAGAAGTTATCGATCAACCATTCTTATCCTTCGAATCTTTTTTTAGGAAATATTCTTTTATATAATATTAACAATTAAACATTCTGTAGTAATACATTTATATATGTCTTTAAAAAAATTTCATCAATAACTTGTAGATTCTTTTATTATTTGTAATTTCAATTTTATTTTATTGTATACTTGTTCCGCGATTGAGATTGAAAGAATTTTTCTAATTACCGATTAAATTTGAAGCTTAATGTTATCCGTCTTCTTGGAATCATTTAATTTTATATCTGAACGTGATCGATTGTCAATTGTAATAATAAAAAACCTGTTGTCGCGAAAGGAAACGGTGTAGACGATGTAATCAATGGTGTCAGACAGTTTTATTCAAATTTTGCATTCTGTCTGCATAATACCGGGTAAAGTCTTTTCCGATACAATCGAGGCGAGAAACTTTAATTAGCGAATTGTTTACAGGCGATTTAAAAATAGAAACTGATATATTGTGAAGCCTTGCACGCTTCTTACTGTGTTAATAAACTATGATTTAACAAACTTTTTTATTTTGTTCAGTTCAATTAATTTGTATTAATTGTAAAAGATAAAGCATTGATATTTTGTACATTAAGTGCATGGACATAATAAAATAATGAAAAATGATCTAATGTAATTATAGCTTTTTGTTTTTACTATCATTACCATTAATCAATGATTCATTGATCACGTAATGTAACATACTATAAGTAGAATGTTTAGAAGTTACATGATTTAAAGATACATCATGATCTGTAAATCAATTGATTTCCTTTATCAGCGGATAATACAGTAAGTATACTGCAACTCACAATTACGATAACCTCGAATGCTACTACTAATTGAAATATGTATATATAAGTACTTACGTCTTTTGCAGCCTGAAGATTAATTGTTTCTGTCGATAAATTAAAAATGTATACAGTGCCATCTAGCGATTGGTGTTTTTGGAGTGCTCCTGGTATTAGGATCACAGGATGTGTGAGAAGGTATTCCGTGAGACTGAGTGACAAGGAGAGGTATACTGCGCAACAAGGACAGACATATGTAAGTTCCCCCACTCCAAAATGGCGGATCACGCTAGCTAAATTATAATTGAGGGAAAATAATTAATAACTCGTTTCCTGTGAATAATTCGTGCACTTTTACTATTGTTTTTCAAAGTATATGATTCTAGGAATTTTTACATGCAGATTTTGCAGCTGTTTTGTTTATATTAATTTATCATTAATTATTAATGTATCTGACACAGAAAATTTTGGTCAAAACTGTGTCTAAAAGGTAGTACGATCACGAAATTTTAAAAAGCAATCGTAAAAATGCACAAGTTATTTTTAGTAGTCGAGTTATAACTATTATTCCGTCAATTATGATTTATATGGCAAGGCGCCATTGTCGAGTGGAGGATCTATGTCTATCCTTGTCGTACAAAGCATCCTCCTTGTCGCACAGTTTCGCCGGATACCTCTTGCACTTTCATGTTCTCTAGCTACCAGGAGCCTACAAAACGCACTCCAAACGTTTGGATAGTTGCTTTCGTTCGCAGCTTATCCTCGAAATACAATTGATGCGAACATATGACTCGCAACATATTGCGTTAAAATATTCTGTTTTTTTAAATAATTTCTTCCAAGAAATGTGAAGTATTAAAGAAATAAATGCAAAATTAAAAAATATTAAATATTAAAAATAGAATACTTGAAATTATAGTATTTATCGAAATGTAGTCTTCTTATTTTGGGTCATGTAGACCCGAGAGAAAATAACACAGATAAATTATTAGTTTAAGAATATTATATACCATATTCTCTGAAAGTTATAATCATGCTTTCAAGAAACTAATAATTATATCAAGGAACAGCTGATGGCCTTTCACTCACGTTCACCACCAGCAATCGACAGGAATTTTCTGATTAACCCAATTCAGGCAGCAATCAAATAATTCCTGTCAAGGTCTTAGTATGATTCATCGTTATTTGTAGCATTCATAACTTTATCGAATAAAGAAACTTTAACTTTATTTATTCGTCGAAGAGAACAAATACTCACTCCTTATAGCTCTGTCAATTAATTAATTAATTGATATTTATGTTATGGTTTCAGTTTGTAGGATTTGATCCATGAAATTTATCACATTTTTAAAGGAAGTATTTTATTTCAGGGTATGGCATTTTCCATTGAGGAAAGGCAAGTATTGGGTATCCATGGTCTCCTACCAGCAGTTGTGAAGACTCAGGAAGAGCAACTGGAACTGTGCCGCCTAAATCTGGATCGCTACCCAGATGATCTATCAAAATATATCTACCTCATTGGCCTACTGGTATGTACTAACTTGCCAACTATTCATCATACTGACTTGCCAGTCTTTCCTTTATTTCTAATAAGTTTATGAAGGTTTACACATTACCCCTTTAAAATGACTAATAATCTCATTAATATTACAGGATAGAAATGAAAAACTCTTTTACCGTATGCTCGCTGATGATGTGGCAAAACTGATGCCTCTGGTATACACACCAACAGTAGGTCTAGCTTGTCAAAAGTTTGGCCTGATCTACAGAAGACCCCGTGGTATGTTCATAAGTATAAATGACAAAGGCTACATATATGATATTTTGAAAAACTGGCCTGAACACGACGTACGAGCCGTCGTTGTCACTGATGGTGAGAGAATACTTGGGCTGGGTGATCTGGGTGCCTATGGAATGGGAATACCTGTTGGCAAGCTGTCCTTGTACACTGCACTGGCTGGTATTAAACCACATCAATGTTTACCTATTACTCTGGATGTTGGTACCAACACTCAGGTATGATACTTAATCTTGAATTATTAAACAGTATTAATACAATGTTCTAAAATATGAATTTGCATTTCAGTCTTTGTTGGATGACCCACTGTACATTGGCCACAAGCACAAACGTGTCACTGGTCAAGAATATGATGACTTCCTGGACGAATTCATGACCGCAGTGGTCAGGAGATACGGACAGAATACATTGATCCAATTTGAAGATTTCGGAAACGCCAATGCGTTTAGACTGCTTCAAAAATATCAGGACAGTTACTGTACCTTCAACGATGACATCCAAGGAACAGCTGCTGTCGCTGTTGCTGGTTTACTGGCATCCCTTCGCGTTACACACACTAAACTGTCGGAGAATACAATTGTTTTCCAGGGAGCTGGAGAGGTACATCAGTGATTTATACCTTATACCGTGTTCTTAGCGTTATAACTGATTTTGTTCTTTCAGGCTTCGTTAGGTATCGCATGGCTATGCGTTATGGCGATGGAGAGAGAAGGTATTAGCAAGGAGGAAGCTAAAAAGAAAATCTGGATGGTTGATTCAAAAGGATTAATAGTCAAGGATCGTCCAAAAGGTGGACTGACGGAGCACAAGCTGCGCTTTGCTCGAGATGACAAACCAATTGACACTTTGTTGGACGTGGTGAAAACTGCGAAACCTACTGTACTTATCGGAGCAGCCGCAGTTGGCGGTGCTTTCACTACTGAAATACTGGAAGAAATGGCTAAAAACAACGAAACACCAGTTATTTTTGCTCTCAGCAATCCAACAAGCAAAGCAGAATGTACTGCCGAACAAGCATACACTGCTACAAAGGTATACAAGAAGCTTCTATAAAATATTCATTGTTCAATTTCTTTCATCTAACATTTTTTATTTTTCGTGTTCATAGGGAAAATGTGTATTTGCCAGTGGATCACCATTCGATCCAGTGACATACAACGGCAAGACTTACAGTCCTGGTCAGGGAAATAACAGTTACATTTTCCCTGGTATTGCGTTGGGTGTAATATGCTGTTGTATGCGTACAATTCCTGATGCCGCATTCCTCGTCGCTGCTGAAACATTAGCTCAGATTGTTTCTGATGAAGATTTGGCGAGTGGAAACCTGTACCCACCGTTGCAAGATATCCAAAAATGTTCATTGACGATAGCTGCTGAAGTCATGAAATGCGGTTATGCAAGTGGTAAGAAAATATTAAGTTTCATAATTTTTGTTTTTCTTATAATATGATCTAATAATACTTTCTTTGTGCAGGTCTTGCAGCACTTCATCCAGAACCTGAGGACTACAAGGAATTCATCAAAGCACAACTGTACGATCCAACTTATAAATCATCAGTACCTCCAGTATATAAGTGGCCTAAAGCATAAATGTATTTTCTACTGCCATTTTCAAATGCAACGCTTTGATACGACGTCGAGTATAAAAATGTACACGACAGATGTGTACTACCTTTTTCTTTTTAATTTGGCATGGTATTGTAAGAGCCTGTTGAGCAGGTTTTTCATATAACTATATTGAGTCTTTGTACGTATGAGTAATAATCAGCATGGGTGTTGTGTATGTGAGCATGTATAGATATCTATTTCGAAAAAGGAAAGATTTTATTCTGAACTGTGTATAAATGTATCCGCTACTGATAGTTTTAAATTATTGGGATGATAAAATGTTTGATTTATCGGTTTAACGAATAAAAAATTTCAAATGATTATTTGAAAGAAATGTGTTTATTGCTACTCGAAACAGCATTCCTCACAGTGCCCAGGACATAATTCTTCTTCTTTGTACGAGCAGCAGGGTGTTTTAAACTTCCGTCACGTTGTATATTCAATTAAGAACCGAAAGAGACAAACAAGACGTACATATGAGCGAAAGTTTTATAATTTAAAGGTATTCATCTATTAAACGAAGTAAAAAGCAGAGGCGTCTTTATGTACTTAAAGCTCGCGCTTTTTCACAGATATATAGGCAATACACGCGTAAACTCGTTGTCAGTGTATTGAGTACTTAGAACCGTATCAAATTCGCCCCATCCTTTTCTTCTACCGAATCTCTTAAGGACTGATGAAACTTAAAACACACATGATTGTCTGCAACCTCGTAAAGACAATACAACGAAATTCATTTAGACGTGGAACTAAAAAAAAAAAAAAAAAAAAAATGTTAAAGAAACAGCTTAGTTTCCTTCGAATTTCGAGGAACAAAACATGTTAGCATTTTTCTAAAAATAACCACATACGTATCATTATGGTTTCCAAGAACGTTAACATGTGTATTTTACGACGATGATTTGGCGTCCATTGAATTCCTCACACGCTCTCACTTTCTCTCCCTTTTTTGTTAATCTTAATTAATGTCAACACGTACGCATAATATTTACTTGTCTTATCACTAAGTCTGATTCTTACTATTAAAACACGCCATGGTCATCAATCTATAACAAACAGAGTATAAACTGCGACCCTTTACTCCAAACTTTGTTGCATAATAACATCGTAATAAAATTAAAGGATAAAATGTACAGAAGAGCGTTTAGAAAATGTTTACAATGATGGGACTCTGTTACGCTACACTGAGCAGACACACTGGCACGTTTACAGTGCCAGTAACAAGGACTATGTCAAGTATAGTTTGGCTGTCTACCAATTTCGTCGTCTTTAAACGAACATCAGAGAGTGTCGATATATTTTTTTTTTTTTCTTATATCTTGACTCAGAGGTTGGTGTCATTCTGCCGTAAATATAATTTTATCGAGTCCGAGTTCCACAGCACCATTGCACTACTGCTTTCTTTTTTATATTAACGTTTATTAATAAACAATACGATTACTTGTAATTTAACCAACATTGTCGGTCGTTACCATTGAATTTAATTTAATTTATATTTCCTACTAAAATTTCGAGCCTCTTTTTATTTCGTTCGCTTCACTTTCAATTTTTTTAATCTTTAAGTCAAGCAATCGTCATCGAATTTTGTTCCTACGAAAAAGACACAGTCTTGTGAGGCTTAAGGATATCAGTATTGTAACGTAGGGCAGTAGCGTCGTTGATAGTGGAGTGTCTGTCCAGCATGGAGGTCGGTCCCTTTCCTAGCTTCATCGAGAAAGAGAATGCGATCGTTCGTGAGATTGTTGAGAATCACCAGCTGCTCGTAGGTCTGGCAATCTTTGGTGTGCTGGTAACGCGTCGAAGAACGGATGTGTCAATGCGTCTTTTAATTCTATCCTGTTAGAAGGTTCGTATTCTAACATTTTCTGAATGAGGTCAAATAGTTGTCGATGTTCTTCGTCGTCCGAAAGCATGCAACGCTATAGAAAAAGAAATAAACGAAACATTAATAACATCATCTTTTGTTCCTTTAAACAGACCGAGTAAATTCTGTTTATATAGGGATAAAAAGTATATAAATTCTTTCTCGAACGATTATGTAACGAGATCATTGTACGACTACTTACGTGTAAAGGTTTACAATGTTCCTCAACGTATCGGGCGGCCGAACCCCTTTCCTCCCAGTCCAATTTACCGTGATAGAAATACTTAGTCTTAGTCTTGCGACCCATACGATATGGAATCGGGCCAAGTATACGCTCCATCATTGCTAAGTGCTCACGGTTGTCGTGCGTTTGAAACAGAGTAATACCCAGGTACAGTTCAAAGAGGATGCAGCCAATCGACCACACGTCACAAGGCTGTGACCATCCTAATTCTATACAAATAAACATACCGAATCAGTCGCTTAAATGTCGCAACGTACCTGAATTAACGAGCATCAACTTACCTAAAATTACTTCTGGTGCCCTGTAATGTCTCGTGCTAACAATCGTGCTGTGATGTTCGTGGTCGAAGGTAGCGCTGCCGAAATCGATCAGCCTTATGTCTGTTCGCTTAACGCGTTTGAAATCCTTTCGCTTGAAAAAAAGAAACTTCTTTTAAACACTTCAGAGAACAATACCTTACCGTGTGGCTTTACAAAAAGTTATCAGACGAAACGATAAACGCGATTTACACAGCAACGAGATTATCTTGCCTTACCTTTTTGCTGTTATGTATGACCTCGTAATCGGAATCTACGAATAATATATTTTCGGGTTTCAGATCGGTGTGCGTGAGTTTGTTATCGTGTAGGAATTTCACGGCATAGCACAATTGATACCCAATGTGCCTGACGTGTTCCAATGGATAAGGTTGGTAATCGTTATCTCTCTGCAAATATACAATAATCGTAACACTGACTCCAGGTGCATATACACGTTATTTCAAGTACATACCAAGAAATCGAATACACTAAGCCCAAGCATTTCAAAGGCGATGCACATGTGACCGTGATAATTGAACCAGTCGAGCATCTTCACGCATAAGCTGAAACACAACAAGTGTTAGACTCGAAATTTCAATAATATCAATTTTTAATTCAACTTGATATTTTTTAAAGTTATCCATATGGATACTAACTGTTGGCCTTCTGGATCCTTGGTCGCAATTTTCTCCAAGGCGTTTATTTCGAGCATCGCGGCTTCCCTATACTTTTCCACGTTCTTGATGATTTTCAGAGCCATCACGTGGTCCCTGAAAACGTCATTACACTGTTATTAGATCTAGTCGGGAACGGCCAAGTTCGACACAATTCCACATGGCGGGAAGAAGCGCAATCGTGCGCGAGGCGTTACCAAGCGGGCTATTTCTTAAACGCGAAGAGGAAGATCCCTCCGGTGGTTCGTTTTCTAAGCGAGAATTTTGCATGGATTTAATTTGCCTCGAGACTGTGCGTTCGTCGAGGATGCCGTCGCTGGCCAGTAAAACAAAGTGCAAGGCCATCCTATTATTGCGACTACTTGCGCGTCATTTTGTGACAGTGCGGCGCACGGCTATTTCTGACCCTGCTATGACTCGGGATACGTGTTGTGTCTTCGGTAGGGACAGAGATATAGAAAGAGTGAGCCGTGCGCGAGGAAATGAACCAGGATAACACGGACGTAAGCGCATTGGGAGGGTCAGGAAGAATAGTGAGAGCACCGCAGACTCGAGGTAGATTACCTACGAAGTAGTTACGTGAGCTGCCACTTACATTTGCACGTCCTTAACCTTGACAACTTTTCCAAAAGTACCCTCTCCTAGGGTGTCCAGTGCTTTATCTGCAATGTAAAAAGATAGATAAATATTCGTGTAGATCAATGACCTCTCGTCCACGCAAGATCATCCATGTTGCTCTATCGGAAACTCTTCTCTTTTTATAATTATCACCGATCAGACGAAGCATAATAACGAAGAAATATTTAATCAATATCCAACAGACACGGACACCTTAGTCTGATCGGTGATGAATCTTTCTTTTTCTCTCCGTACAATTTTTCCATTTCAGATCTGATTGTAACATCAAGGTTCGAAAAAGAAGACCCCCGAGGGAGGAGCAACATGGACGCGCTTCCACGTGGACGTTCAGTCGTTGGTGTTCAATACGCCGTTACGTCGTGAACGGATGTACGATTCAAGTGAAAAAAAACTGTATCATTAGAGCTCTGTTATCGATCGGAACTGCTGCTCTCCTAAAGGCCGAGGTACCCTAACCGTAAAATCGGCGATCGGAGGACATGAAACATTGACTCGTCAACTCCCGGTGGCACGTTACTCCCGCTCATGATTCACGATTAATTTATTCTCTCTCGAACGCGCGATGAATCGAAGGCAAAGCCATCAGGATTTTTAGCGAATGTCGAATGTCCTCGTGCGCCTGTTTTCAACAGAGAGGAGCACGTCATCCCGAAGAAGACGTATCGAGGAAATAGCGCAAGCGTAGTCTCTCTTTGTCTCTACCGCTTCCTTCGTCTCTCTGTCTCTCTATTTTTGCTTTCATCTTCGACGATCACACGAGTGTGCTCTATATATTTTTCAAACGAAATCTTGATCGGGCGCAACTGTGAAACTGAAAATTCACGAAATAAGAGAAACGGATTAATAAATTTACATTTTACGTATCCTGCTTCCGATCCGACCACTGTGTAAGATCGAAAATATAAACGAACGAGATTAGAGGGGGCTAAATGAAATCTACTATCTATTCATTTATGTTCATACTAGCTCGATTAATGCGATACGGTTTGAAGAAAAATATTATAAACAGTTTGAAATAAATAAAGAAAGAAAATGGAAGAGAAACAGAGACGCGAACGAATGGACGTTAAGCTGGAAGGGTTGAGCAGAGGCAAAGAGAGACTGATTGGCAGATACCGTGGGTAACCGATCCGATCGATCGATCGACCAATCGATCTGAGGCTTGCTTAAATATACTACAATGAGTGTATTCACGTATTCACGAACATCTATCTGCCAGGATGTCGCCGGTTTGGTAAACAAGGTGGCCGTCTGCGTCGTCCTCGACGGAGGGCAGTCGTAGGTTCTACATACGGGCCGGCGGTATCGGTATCAGCGGCGCGTGCCAAGAGAGGACCCAATCAGTGTTGGAGTGCACCGTTTGGTTCCCCCGTGTTTTCGTTTCACGATGGAGACCCGACCAGAGAATGTTCCCCAACGATGTTGTCGTTGTCGATTCATCCACAGGGACAGAGACAAGTCCGTTCGCATCGTTGTGATGGCCACCAGAGTCGTCGTCGTTGTTGATGCGATCCCAATGGGTTGTCGTCGTTGTTGAGATGATACAGGGTGGAGTCCACCATCCAGGGACGTCGCGTCAACCGATCGCCAACACCACCGTCATCCATCACCACCACCACGAGGGCGGAGAGACCCGTGTAACACGCGGTAGAGGACGTGTGTAAGCACGGACGAACGTACGATTGTGTCGTTGGGGAGGAAGTAGGGGGATACATCATCATCATCATCGGTCATCGGTCATCATCATCATCGAGAGAACCACCCGATCCGAGCGCCCAGTCGACCATAGTGACCAATCCGTGTGCCATATCCAATTCCATTCCATTCCATTCCATTACAACGGAGATGGTAACCCAACAATCAGAGAGAAAGGGGAGAGGGCAAAATGGTTTGCCAAGTCAGAAAGTTGCGGTTACGAATTTTACCATCGGCACAAAGCGAACATTCTTTTTTTTTTTTTCTTTAAATTTATTTATTATCTTTTTTTTTTATACGATTATGATTATTATATCAGTATTATCTCTCATTCTTTACCTCATTTATTTTTGCATCTTTCTCGGTTATTTAGTATTTACTGTTCTCTTTTTTTTTTTCCTAGACCCGTTATTTTTATTATAGAGACGTATGCTCGTGTTAAAATTAGCTTCTTAATGTCTCGAAGAAGCCGTCCTCGATCGACGAGGATCAAATAAAAATGAAATTACTGTTACGAGATAGTTATCTTATAATTTACAGCTCGGCAGCGTTTATAGTTTTTCTTTTAAATACAAGTAAAATGAAGCAAAAGTTATTTTCAAGCGATAGATCGATCGCTGGAAAACGAATAAATAAAATGAACGAAATCGGACAGCTTCTTCCTCGTTAATTTTTCTCTAACACGCTCGGAGAGGTCGTTACTTTTTCTCTGTGTATTTTGTTAATAATCAATTTGATTTGCAGAAACTTCCAAGTACTTACGTGATTGCGCCAATTGGACGCTTCATGACGATCGATCAATTGATCGATTGATCGTCGTGACGCATCCGTAACGGCGCGATATCGATCGACACTTTGAGCCTACCTTATCAACGCGCGAAACGATCCGATCTTTCATCATGAATTTCGTTTAAACACGAACAATTTATAAAACGGGACAATTATTAGGGGGAAAATAAGGACAGGACCACGGTACTCTCTTCAATTGTTTTACTAAAATTTTAGCGAGAGGAGATATTAATATTAAACATCAAAACATAGGATATGAAACTCTCGTGTTACAACGGCGCTTCGAAAGATGTCAGATACTGTTGTTGGTAAACTAAATAAACGATACCGTATGAATAATTGCTCGTTTCAAAGGATCTTTGACACTGGGCCAACGTGCGATTATTTTAGATTGCTCTTCAATTCAGTATATTTATACTTTATTAAAAGATATAATAGCGCAGTGTTTTGAAAGATGTTCGACATCAGTGACGCGCGTTTTTCAATTCAGAGAAATCCATCTTTTATCAAATTTTATTTTGGGAATTAAAATGTTACGGGTTAAAGTGACTCTATAATGTAAATCAGATTCATCTTTCACAGGAAACATCCAAACATCTTTCGAAGCACCACTCCCTATAAAAGACACCTGTACACCGGGTCTGCCCACGAAATGCCCTAATTAACCACAAGATAAACCTAGCTCGCACCGATTAATCAATATTATTCCTTCAACATCCTCCCACGAGCAATAAGACCACTGTCACTAGGGCATACTCCTGGACAGTCCTGTACATTCCCCAATCGAAGGGGGATCCCTCGATAAGACAGTCGCGTACGAGTGAATCATCCCAATGTCCACCAATTGAAAGTCAAAAACAGACACGTATTAGTGACAAATCAGCTCGGATCACGGCGATCATCGAGTCAGCAGAGGCTGGGACAATGTCGGCCAGGTGAGACAATGGGAGAAGTTAAAACGAGCGGACGCAGAAAAACAGGCAGGCGTGAGGGCAAAATGGCAGCAACAACAGCAGCAACGGGCATGGTCTGCTCAACGAAACAACACTCGAGCCAGCGATGCCGGCGAGAAGAAGCGGTATCTGCGCGCGGTTCGACAACTTACAATCGCCTGGTGGACCGTGTCCGAGTTGTTAACGACACTCGCGACGGAGGTAACCGCGTTCTTCGACGCGTTCTTTGACGCGTTCTTCGACGTGTCTTTACGCTCGCCTTTCCTATACTTGCTGGCGATAATGTCCGTGGTACTGGGCCGCATCTTCATCTGGCCACCGGCAGCCAACTGACTGTAAGTCTCCTCCATAGCGGCGTATTTCAGGATCAGACTCTGGATCTCCTTTCGTTTCGCAGCCCTCTCGGAGATCGCCGGATCCGATTCTTCGGAGTCGACGATCCGAGGAAGGACGTTCGTGTCGCGTGCCACGCTACCGGTCGGCGTCTTATCCGGATCGCTAGCATCGTTCGTCTTCTCTTTCGAATTCACGGTGTCCAATTTTACAGGTCGAGCCAACCTGAGCGCCGTGGACGAACTCTCCAGTTGCTCGCTTTTACCGTTTCTGTAAGGCCTGACTTTCCGCGTACGGCTCTCGGCATGGCCGGACTTGTGCCTGCCGTATCTGCGGTAAGTTTCCGAGTTCAATAAACCGTGTCTCTCCGTTCGATGGTAACCGGGTGTCTTCTCGCGTTTCGAGTCCCTCGTGGAGGATTTCACGTAAGGGTACGCTTTCTCGGACAGCAGGACGCTTGTTGGACTCTTGACGACGGTGCGGCTCATCGAAGGTTCCAGTGTCTTTTCGTCCCGGACGAAAGGACTGTCCTCGCGTCTGAAGTAACTGTGATCCCTTTCGCGGGTACGTCTGTAGTCGGTGGTGTGATCCGAGTGATCGTGACGCTTCTTCCTGGAGTACTTGTCCAGGATGGTCGAGTACTTGTCCTCCAGTCGGGACTTGGCGGTGGCAAGGTTGATGCCGGGCGAGGTTCGTCTAGCGAGGCTCGGTTTGCTACCAACGTGCTCGTTCAACGTGGAGGTACCGCGTACCCTGGTGGTTAATCGCTGCAGGAGGCTCGAGCACGATTCGCTGAGCATCTGGGTGACGCTTGTGGTGGTCGAGGATCGAGCGTACCGATTCCGCCGGCCCGTCGATCCCTGACGAGACGTCGACATGTTGTCACGTGGCGCGAAGATGAACATCGAGACGTAAAAACTCGCCCACGCGGTCTCGAAATTCTAGAGAATCAATCCTAAGATCAGGCTGATTCGCAGAGAATACCTTCACAGTTAACTCGTTACGTGATTTCCTTCCTTTTAATTCTGTTTGTTTTCTTAATTTCGAGTCGGTACGCGTTCAGTATATCGTTTTCTTCGAATCAATTCTTCGGTTTCGAGTGAATCTCCTCAAGGTCGTTCCGCTAGACCTTGCCGAGTGTCCTGTACGTGACGCATCCGAGATTGGTCGCTTCGAAACGCACAGTGGAACACGTACGATTTTAGGGTTAAACCGATTCGTCCAAGAACGATCAGGTAACGTTCAGTGACACCGCGGCACGATACCTCCTGCCCGTAGCTGCATCGTCGCACTACGGAGGTGCGAACATCGTCGATCACGCAACCGAGGGACACCAGCGAACGCACTAAACTACGACCACAACGGCGGTCACGAAGACGACGGACGGACGTGGACCGTTCACGAAGACGAGGAGGCGAATCGGTGCGCCCCGCCAAATACTCTCGTCGCACTAAAAATACCGAGCAGCGGTGGTGAGCTCCGCGCTCCGACCAACGGAACACGATTCCTTTTCTCTCTCTCTCTCTGTCTGTCTCGCAACTAACACTTCTCGTACGATGAAAAGCAGCGGGCGACACAGGGATAGAGAAACACGGGCCGATTTGGTAGGGAGAGACAGAAGAGGGAAGGTGTGCTATCGAAACAGAGATAGAGGTAAAAGGAAAGAAGAAGAAGAAGAAAGGAGAGCCGAGTATTACGTAAATTTCTCGCTTATTCGAAATGATCAAGTTCGACACGCTTTAACCCTTTACAATTCGCAAATCTGTCCTCTTAGATCATCAACAATACAATTTGACCCTCGTTGGATCATTTTTAATCCTGAGATAAAATAAAAAATGGAATGCACCCTTGAACTCTTTATGTTGAATCACTATAAAGAGTTGGGCTGTAAAGGGTTAAAGCACTTGGCAGCATCTACGCTTCCTGGTGTATGGAGAGCGGAGGTCGTCGAGATTCGTCCACGATGGAGCCAGTGCACGAGGAAACGATCAGTGCGTTTACGCGAGAGCATAGCGCCTTGTCTCCCAACGCGCACCTTGACACATATAGAAATTACGAAATCGTCCGAGAACGACGTTCGAATGAGGGCAAGCTCTCATGAAATGCCGATCTACACATATCGCATAATTAGAACGGGTCTAATTCGTCCGAGCGCGGCACCACGTGGATGCTGGCAAACTTGTTGCACCATCTGCTGAATGAATCTTGAAGACGAAGCTCAAACACTGTGACAAAGAGATACTCTCATGCTGGACATTCCTGAAGAATGAAATGAAATTTGAAGAGAAGAAACTGTTATTTCCAATGAATATTCCAATAGAATAATTTAAGTCTATGAATTATAATTAGAATTGATGTTAATTTATAGAAGATTGCTACTTGCACCATCTGCTGAATGAATCCTGAAGACGAAGCTCAAACACTGACAAAAACATACTTTAATATTTATGTTGGACATTCCTGAAGACTGAACTTGAAGAGATAAAACTGTTATTTGCAATGAATAATCCAATAGAATAATGTACGTCTATGAATTATAATTAGAATTGATTACTACTTTTAATCTACTACTTTTAATAAAATCTGACCCTAATGATGACCCTTATCAAAGACCAAAACATTGATCAATAATAAATCTGTAATATCCAAGACCAATCAAGCAAAGTCTCTCCGTGTATCATCTCGGAAGATTGTTACCGATTATAAATCCTAGATATTGAAAAGGCTCGAGAACTGTGGCGTGCTATTTGTCGTGACGTTTTGTCTTCAAGTTCGATGATATCGAGGTCTCCTCTGGGTGTCACGGATCCTCCACAAATTCGAGTATCGGTATAAATACGCGTCGCGTAGAAAATAGCGACGTAGTTCGCGGGACGCTTCGCCCACGAGCACCCACGTTTCGAGCGCGGAAACGCGAGAGAATTTGCTGGCACCAAGGATTCGTTTCTTTCCGGCCTCGTATATCACGGAACTTCTCGAGAACCAGTGATTTAAAGCGGTTCGATACTAAGATTCCTTTGCAAAAATAACAACGAGAAACACCTTGAAGATATTCAAGGCTGTCGATAACAATCGTATAATTCTCTTCAGCAAGAAGATGGAAACGAACGTGCATCAACCGAAGAGCTTCTTTTCCAAAGAGAAAAAAAACTCTCCTCTTCCACTCAGAGCGTTTTATCTCAGATGATAGAAGAAGAATCGCAATAGAGAACTCTTTCGTCAGACGGGGCTTACATGACGAAGGGATGCGAAGAAGAGAAGGAGAGAACGCGTATCTATCGTCCGCTCGAGTCTGCCAAATATAACCGAGAAGCGTGAAACGCGTGCACCACGATTGCCTCGTAAGCCGAGAGAGCGGATCGTCGTGGTTGGGCGGCATGTTTAAATGTTAAGGTGAGTACCTAGCTAACTAGCGCTCACTCGCTGGTTGGTTTATTCCGCTGCTTTCGTGTCACCGTTGCTGCTGCGCGTGGCAAAGGGCCAACAGAAACAAGTACATGCGTAGGTGATTCGCCATGTTACGGTGAGTTCAGTCTTGGGTACATTTTATCCTGATACTTGTCAACTGTATCCTTATCCTGATAGGAAATCCTCAATACGAAGGTCTGATACTTTGATGTGTAATTAAATCAAATTAGATTCCCTTTTGTTAGTTGTAAACCTTCATTCTGAAGACCTCCATCTGTCCACGTCCTGATCACGAATCAATTTCTCTTTTAACTGGTCAACTCAGATCTGTAAATTCCAAACGCGCAAAATATAAGTGCAATTATCTGTACATAGATAACTGAAAGTTTTCCAAAGTATCCAAGACTGGACTGCCGAGGGGGGATAATCTGAATTCGATTAGAAGTGAACGCGAGATCATCAAGAGAGCACAGAAAGCCCGAGTGATTACAGCGATGCGTTAACGCACATACACACATACACGCACGGTTTCTAACTATTATCGCAGAATGTATCGTTACGGTGTACAAGCATCTCGTTTCGTTCATGCTACCTCGGAAGTAGATGTGCCGTTAGACTCCGGCGTCACGTCGAGCTTCGCGTCCAATTGCCCGGTCATTTCGGGTACGTTACACTGCACCCAAGACTCCCAACCGTGTCTAGGCCACCAAGAGACGTTCCCGGTAGGCAACAAAAGATTCAGTTCCTGTCCAGTGATCATCGACGAAGACGACGACGACGAAGCTGACGACGGTCCACCGTCAGCCAAGCCGCCGCCGCCACGCGTGCACCAGCTTCCAGGATGATCCAGCGTGACTGTGTATCTCGCGCGAGGCAATTCTCGATTCTAGGATAAAAGCTCTCTCTCACGAGAGCATCTTGCCAACGGCGACGAGTATTTCTAAATCCAGGGTTGTGATCGATTCTGGGTCAGCGAGCTGGTGATGATCTAAGCGCCTCGGGTTACCTCACCGTCCACGATTCGTAAACACCGTTTAGCACGATCCTTCAGAATCTCCTCCAGGATGCAACGATACACTTTATCCACTGGACAGGACTGGTCGAACATCTGTTCGGATCGAATGGTTCAATCTTTGAACATGTCGGTTCGTCTCGATCTTGCTTGGCCGGAACGAACTTCTCGCTGCCGGATTTCCCGCTCGGACCGGTAACTCCCGGTAACTCGATCGACGACGATAGTGTTTGCTAGACGCGTGCCTTTGGTTCCGGCGAGCCGGCTTCCCTGCCGGCGCGTTTTCCGACGACGATGCGGACGGTGTTGCGCTGGCCATCTGGCGCAAACTCGCACTAAAACCGCGGCGAAACCGTGTGACGAGTCCTCCTCGAAAATAGTCCCCGGTCGAAAATAGCCGACGCTGGGTAAGAAAGAAGAATCATCGGCATTTGCTCCGGGTACACGCGTCAAGCTAGTTGCGTAGCGGCCTTCTCCAGAGACTGATCCCTCTCGTGCGTTCTACCGCCTACCACCACCACCTTCTTCTTCTTCTTCTTCTTCTTCTTCTACCTCCACCTCTTCTGTCTTCCTTACAATTCAACGACTCCTCTTCTTTTTCTTCATTCCTTCTTCCTATCGATCTGCTTCTCTTTACCGCGTATTTATATCGCGAGAGACAACCTTAAAGATAACGACGCTAACAGCCGGAGGACACGCTGTTGCTCCAAGGGATGATTCACTCGGTTCTATATTGGAAAATTCGCGGAAGGCCGACAGTCAGGACAACGAACCAACGATATTCGTTTAATCGTGAGAGTTTCATATTATGATCCGGCAATTTTAATTAGAGTATCGTGGTACCTGCCAGGTGTATTATGATGGTTACAGGGGATAATAGGTCTGGATGATCAGGGACCAACGAGACGAATCCTACTTTCATACGATTTCTTATAAATTTAAACCACTTGTCGACACCATTGGACTCACCTGTCTTCTGGGGGTCGGCGAACGATACCGATGCCGATCCTTTGTTGTGGACGGCGAACGATGCCGATGTCGATCCTGGCTTTGGGACGGCGAACGGTGCCGATGACGATCCTGGCTTGGCGACGACGAACCATGGTGACGATAGATCCTTGCACACCTGGACGAGGTTGGGGGAACTGGACGTTCACAATCGCGTTCGTGAAAACCGTGTTGCCTTCCGCCGCTCGGTGATCGTCGATGACTTCGTCTACGTCTTCCTTGGCTCCTTCCACGCTCCTCCCGACGTAACCTTAGCATGCGTTCGCCGCTGAAACCGTCGATATTTATTAAGATTTATCGATGCCTCGATGAAATAACTGTACTGTTCTTGGCGCGTTGCTGGTAAATTGATCTAACGAGTAATCGTGCGAGTTAATAGACGATGTTCGCTTGATTACGAGAAAATTGAAGGAGATCGTTTCAGATTATTAAGGGCCATTCTCAGTCTACAGCAAATCATTTTTTTATTCAATGAAGAATAAAACAAAAATGTTTCAGGGGGTCTGTGTACATTATATTAAATAATATTTAAATACAGAATTTATGTATAATTAATATTATTGATCATGTGCACAGAATAACAAAGGTTGATAAAATCCGCATGTTACCACTGTGGTGTGAAAATTTTTCATTATTAATTCAATACTTACATTCAATCAGCAATTCCAGGATTATATAAACATTCCTATTTTCACTTACATTAAGTGGAGTATACGTAAAATTGTGTTATTGCTCTGATTAAGAACTCAAGCTATCATTCACAATTACATGTGAATTATTTACTCCACTATTTATGTTTGTGTTTTGGGGCCATTTGTCCTAAGTATGGTCCCCAACACATTTTTTCTTAAATCTACGTGAGGTTTGACAAAAATAGGCGGCTGGGTTCGTTTCTTATCTAAACACCTCACAACTAAAGGCATTCTAAACCGAGAAGGGCCCTTAACACTTAGAATTCCAAGGGAACATTAAGAAATCATTAAATTAAATCTTCTAATTCGGGTTTTTGCAAGTCACCAAGTTTTGTATTTTTTGACCGCAGTACTTCGAGTATTAAAACGCAAATAAGAATTAGAAACTCTTCTACAATTGTCTGTAGCAATCTTACTTTCACTCTATTACGCTCACGAGTATGCCATAAAAACGGGAGAAAGGAAGATTTTACTATTTTCTAACCAGCCCCGGCGAACGTTTGATCCGTATGAAACGTTGTAAATTATAGCAACAATGTTCAGAGATTGTTAAAACGAAATTGAAGTTCGGTTCGCTCGTTATCCGCGATGATCTTGAAATTTAAATCTTCTGGAACGAAAGCACGAGCTCGTCGAGCGTAACAGAACGAATTAAACAAGTTAAATACTAATTACGAGATATGATTTGATCATTAGCGATAAATGTTAAATTGTAAGCACTGCTTATAATTTACACCGCAATTACACTGATTTAATAATCTAATCTGAATTCGTGATTCTTTAATCACCTTAAGTAATGTGTTTCTAAAAATAAACATTAGAGAATGGTTTTAATTAACTCTGAAATTACAAGGTAATTTCAGGCAGAGAAATCTATTTTTCTATATAATATGTTTTTTGAAAAATCAAAAATCATCCCCTGTATTAATATGCAGAGGAAAAGCGGTCCAAAGTAAAATGCAAAACAGAGTGATTTATCGGTGGCTCACTCGAAACGCTTTAAACATAAGAGTATATTTGGATTTTAAGACGGAACCGACTGAGAATCAGGCTTCACCCTGCGCGTTGCAGCACAAAATGCACGGTACATTTCAGAGCAACAGTGAGTTGACCTACTTAAGCTCTGTCCGCCTTCAAATAGACCATTTCACTTAACAGCATTCTCGCTGACGTATTCTGCAACGTCTTGATCAAGCGTCGACTACGTCAGAAAACCGAAATTCAAGGTTGCGTGTTTGCAACCCCTTTTATCGCGAGGTGGTTCTTTCGATTCCTTTATAAAAAAGAAATCTCCGACGAAAAAGGCTCGAAAATTTGCCGTTCTACCGATGAATCATGCGAAAGGAAGTCGTCAAAAGATTTTTAATTGGACGACGTGCTAATGTCACGGACTTTCAATGAGCAAACTATGCTGTGCACAAAAACATGCGTCCTTCGTTTTCATTCCTCTATTTCACACCTGGCTATCATTTAAGATATCAATTATCTGACTAAAAAAATACTAGTTCTTCCATTTAATAATTATCAATTATTTCACGTGACCAGAATTTAAAATAAAATTTCGGCTCTCTCCATGGTCCGCGACATAATCGAATCTTTCACTCTATCATTCTTTTACCCAATCACATTAAAATTAAACATTTTCATTTTGTTAAACTTAATTCTATCATAAATAAAATGGAAGATTCCAATAAATCCTAGAATTTTTCTAATATTTTTCCCACTCGACACGAGTTTTGCCCAAACACTTTCTCACTCTGCCCTACATAACGCACACCTTTTATATAACAAATGCATATTCACTGAAATACGAACCACAAACAAATCTTGACGTGTTTCGACTGAACCGTTCAACATTTATTGCCTTCCTGGGGGCAGAGTCGAATAGAAGATCTCCCTTGGTCGAACGAATGAATCGTGGACAGTGTAACCGCGCGCGTTTAGGAGGAATAAAAAGAGGTCTGCCTATGGAGACATTTGAAACGAGACTGTTCGGAAGTATCGCGCGATGTAAATCAGCGGTGTGACGCGAGCGTGTGGAAGAAATGTGCTCGACTCATCGCGCTGCAAGTACGGCTAGATAGGGGTAACATTGGATTGGTCGAAAAGGAAAATTGGTTCGGGTAGAGATGGGAGCGCATCCTCGGCAGCTTCACCTCGGGGTGCGTTTGGATCCCGTCCAAAAATCCTTCGAAACGCCTACGGGAATGTGGAATTGATAGCGCGCCCAGTGTATCCTTTTCGAAAGGATCGTCGCGTTAAAGGGGTCATAGGATTATGCGCAAAGGCCACCCTCTTTAGCCGCAACGTCACCTCCCACCTTTGACCCTGGATTGCTTACTGCTGCCAAAAAAAAAGAAAAGAAAAAGAAGGACCATCCGCAGGCAACAAACAAGCACTTTCAGATTCTTTTCTGCCAAGTTTTGATCGCACGCGCTTCTTCCAAGCTACCAATTACCACTTTCTTGTCGACACTTTATCTACTATCGCAATGTTTCGCAACATGAATAGTGTCAATTAAAAAAATTAATGAGTTATCTGCACCGTTAACCCTATCGACCCGGATAATTACTGGAGACTTCGTTTATATTATTGTACTTATTGGAAATATACTAATACAACGCTAACGGGTTAAGGTAAATATTTATAGATTCGCGATATCGTTGAAATTTTTTTAATTTCAACAATATCGTATTAACAGGGTCGAATGGGTTAATTCCGAAGGCCAAATGTTTCTTACTAATTGATATCCAATACCAAGAGGTTCAATATAAAAAAAGAAATTGATAATTTCTGTTTAGTAAATTAAAAGTTCTGAGTATTAAAAACTTCGACGTGGAAAGGAATAATTAGTCATTCC